CTAGTTCTGGTTACCTGAAGGCCTTTTGCTGGAGCAGCAGGAGCTGAAGTGATGCTTGTGGCTGGACCTGTTTTAAAGTTGGGAAAAAATATTTATGTCTGGAATGCTTTAATATAATAAAAGCTAATGTTTTTATTGTGATAAACTAAAGTGTACCACTGAGGAATAATTAAAAACCCCAATCTTTGTAATACAGGATTGAAAATGCAGGAGGCAATAGCAATGGCAATATAAAGTATCTGCAGGTAGGCAGCTCTAGTGATTTGGGGAATTCAAATAATAATAGGTGTGTGGAATTTCATTTGTCAGGTTAAAATTTTTAAGGAGAAAAACAGAAGAATGAAACCTCCATGCTACATTGGGCCTGAATTATCCAGGTGTTCCTGGTGTGTCAGAAACACACAGGGCTGCTGAGCATGGATGGGCTGCTACCCCACTCCTGCCACTGACACTGAGCAGGGACGGCCAGAGGAGCATTACCTGTTCCACCTGCTGACCCACCTCTTGCCTCTGAGGGATGAGCACTCACACCAGTGACTTCCAGCTTGTCCAACTTTCAGTAAAAGGAAAAAGGAAACACAGTTTCAGTCTCACTCACAAAGCAGAATGTGTTCTCCTTCCCTCACTTCCCCTTGCTGCCCTGGCACTACCAGGGAATACTGAATTATTTCACAGTGCCTGTGGAGGTGGCATTCAAGTCTTGCCTCCAACTCCTATATCTTTTTTCTCCTTCCTTGGAAGAACTAAAGCAGTGGTGGCATGGCAGCTGGAACTGCAGCCCAAGCTACTGAAACCCAGTGTATTATATATACACACATGCTTGGAGCTCTGTTCTTTTTTGGAGGATTTGCTTTTCCAGCCATACTGTACATTCCTTATTGGTATGTCTGTCTTCAGACGTTCTATGTCTCTTTCCTTATTGGCATGGATTTAATAGGACAAATTCTAATTACTGGAGACATAACACCTTTCACAGAGAGAGAATTTTGTTTGCTGTTGAAAATCATTTATCATTAGAAAACAACATGCTCTAAAGAGTCACTCGAGTACAGCTCTTTCCTGTACCATACAGCACCTCTCGAGCAGTTTGATAGTGTCCCTCCAGCTGATGATACACAGAACAAGCTCAGCCGTGCTAGTGGGGATGGAGTTATCTCCAGAAATGCTACTTTTGAGTAAGATATAGAACCATAAAATGGTTTGGGGTTCAAAGCTCATCCCATTCCACCCCCTGTCATGTGCAAAGACACTTTCCATTAATCCCAGATTGCTCCAAGCCCCATCCAACCCGGCCTTGGACACTGCCAGCAATAGAGCAGCGACAGCTTCTCTGGGTAACCTGCACCAGGAGCTGGAACAGACACTGATCTAGCACAATGTACTGCAAATCTGATGATTTCATAAACTTGGAATTTTATCTGAAAAACCCTAACATGGGGGCTCAACTGAGACAGAGTAACCACTGCCCCAGACCACCTGCTACCTCTTTCCTTACAGGCTTCCGTGGCAGTCTTGCTTTACCAAGCTCAGGAGAAGACAAAAGAAACTATTACAGGAAACAGAAGAAACTCATGACAATGGAATGGCTGCTTTTGGCAGCATGTGGACAAGGCAAAGGCATGTGAAGTGTTTGCTTTATCCAGGCTGACTTGGAAGGCAGTAATCGCAACCACTGCCATTCATTTAAACTTAAAACTGAAGCAAAATCGCCTTCATTAGAATCAGAATGACAATACCACGCATGTATTTTACATTCTTAAACTACAAAGAAATGGACACATTTCTGCCTGCTTTGGATGGCACACAAGAGGAGATGAATTAAAGTATTACAACACTTCTAAATCCAAAGAGAAAGTCTGGCTTTCACTAACATTTCTGAAAACTTAATTGGGATGCATCTGACAAGAAAAATTTAAGCGAGCTTTCACACTGGAAAGCAGTCAGCAGGCAAAGGTAACACACTCTGGAGCAGAGATATGAAATGTTTAGGGAAGCAAAAGATCTACACGTGTCCTACCGCAGGAGAGTGGGTCCTGAGCTCTGCCCTGGGGCTAGCCCTACAGGCTGGCTTAGAGGGGATGAAGGCCAGAGCCGCTGGGGGATTGACCAGCAGTGGGCAGGGCAAGGCCTCTGGGGGCACAAGGGGCAGCAGTGGCTTAGCAGCAGCTTTCACCTCCTGTCCAGTGTCCGGGACGCTGTAGCCTGGTTCTCTCCCATCCAACACCGTGGCAGGAGTTTGCTCTTCAGGAAAAGGTGGTAAGGTAAATTCACCGTCACCCTGTTCAGGTGGCACAGAGATGTCCGGGGTCCCTGCTGATGCCGAAGAAGTTGGAACATATTCCTGGTACAGCAAATTGCGCAGCTTCTCATCAAGGCTTTTAATTGTGTTGTCCACAAAGTCCACCCTGGGAGGTCCCTCGCTGTCGGACTCAGCGGTGCCAGGGGGGTTCTGCTGCTGGAGCAGACTGACCCCTGCCCCAGCCATCCCCGTGCCACCCTGTGCCATCGTCACCTGCTGGGACGTGGCCAGCGGCACCTGCGTGGGGCTCTGGAGCTGGGACCCCACCAAGGCCAGGGCGTCGGGGCCAGCAGCCGCGGGGAAGGGCTGGCTGCCGAAGGACCCTGCACCGGGCTGGCCGCCCTCTGGCAGGCACGGCCCCTGCGGCACCGGCTGCCGCTCCAGCCCAAGGCTGCAGCACACCATCTCCACGTCGGGCACGCGTGCCAGCTTGTCTGGCTGCGGCTGCAGGTGCGGGGCCGGGGTGTCGGGGGGTTCCTCAAGCCCCACAGCTTGGGGGGCCAGGGGGCCGGGCTGGGGGTACTCCGGCTGGCCCCCGCCAGCTGCCGCGGGCTCCGCGACGCTTGGGGCGGACACCAACAACGCTGGGGCTAGGAACTCTGGCTGGCTTGCTATGCTGGCAGGAGCTGCTGCAGCAGGAGCTGGTGCCAAGGACGAGGTGGCTCCAAGGGGGCTGTCACTGATCCCTGTGTGCAGGGGAAACTGCTGGCTAACCCCAACCCCGAGCGCCTCAGTCACTGCAGAGCTCACCAGCTTGTCATCCGACTGCTCTGGGTCTAGAGAGAACATAAACAAAAGGTGAACCTTTAAAAGAAAGGAAATCACTGCCAATCCTCACGGAGAGCTGCAGGGACAACCCAACAGTGATTCCCACCAGCAAATAGCTGTTATGCACATCAAACGAGAATTTTCAGATTATGCAAAAAATATTTCATTGAAAAGACACTATAGTGATGAGAATTTCAGCTACCCCATAGCATAAGGTATAGCTAAAATACTGACAGTTGACTGAAATTCAGATAAAAATTCCCAATTTGGTTCAACACCCCAGGAACACATTGCAAGTGCACAGCTTAAAAAATTCATCACTTTTTTCCTCTGACTAAATCAAGTGAACCCATCAGCTGAGTGGGGTGAGGACAGAAGAGAGACAACACAGCAGCTCTGGAGAAGATATTTTCTATAAAGTAAAGGAGATACCTGGCCCTTCTGTCTGCTGGGCACTGGGAGGCACCGGGGGAGAAAAGTCAGGGGCATCTGTAGCAGGGTTTTCCACCACTGGACATATAATAAACCACCTTTTTCCAGTATGCAAAACTAGAGATGAAAAGAAAATAACAAGTAAACGTGAATTTCCATTGTCTCCAGATCATGACGTGGTCTTAATTTCACTGGATGGTTTGGGTAGGAAGAGACCTTAAAGGCCATCTAGTTCCAACTCCCTGCTATGAGCAGGGACACGTTCCACTAGAAATTCAAAGGCACTCTTACCATTTTGCTGATACACAGGTGTCTTTATTTGAGACTGACGCTTCTCCTGTTAAAGAAAGAAGAAAGAGCTGGATCAGTGCAAGAGGAGCATCATCCCACTCATATTGTAAGGCTTTACACAGCAAAAAGCATTATTTTTCTAGTTAAGAAACCTTTTTAGTTTGTTTTTTTTTTTTTTAAACACAAGATGCAAAAGTAATTTAAATATCTGGCTGTTAAGAAAAATGAATCAAATTGGCAATCTTTATTTAGCATTTCTTACCTCACTCATTTCCAGTCTATCAGAATCCTGTTGGGGACTTGTTCCCTGGTCAGAACTTCGCTCTCCTTCTGTATCCTCACTGAGCATATCTTCTGCTTTATCAATGATATCCTTCATTTGCTCAATAAAAGTCTCTTTTTCACTTTGCAAGATGAATTCATTCTCCACCTAGAAGGCCACATCAAAATAAAGGGGAAAACAGAATTTTTTTTATTAATGTCTCATTCCACAGCTGCCAGACAGCTCATGCAACAAGCACACGAGGAGCTGCCTATAGCAACTGGGAGCACTTACAGCCCGTGGTCAGCCACATCTCACCATGTAAGTAGCAATTTCCTCCGGTGCATCACCATCCAAGTCAAACTTGAACGTCACCATTTTGTGGTTATGGGTTTCCAGCTGGCACTCCACCATCTTATCCCCTGTGTTACACACCTGCATGCAGAGATTAACAGCCCTTATTCCTGGAAAAGCCAAAGGAACTCTAGAGTTACCCTCCAGCAGGTTGTACTTGCATTTAATATGGTCAGTTTGGGTCTACTGGACTTCTCCTGGCGTGAACGAGCACGTGTGGATTTCTTATGCTTCTTTGAAGACTTTCCTTCTTGCTTTCCACTTCCTGTTGCTCCATCCAAGCTGTCACTCAACTCTTTACCAGAAGCAACATCTGGACTCATGTAGCTTCACATGGCAAAGGAAGAACAACCCCAAAATAAAGCCAGAGTCACACACAGTGGAGTCATGCATCACGTGTAAACTATGTAACAGGCTGCCAAAAGGGCACATTTACACTTTTTCTGGCCCAAACTGAGTAAACTGGAAGATACTCAGTGAGCGAAGGGAACTACTCCACACTGGGCACATACTCTGGCTACAACACCTACCAAGAAATGATCTATTAATGTTTCTGGCAGTAAATATATCCCTATGTCCCCTAAGCCCTTCACTTTTGGGTCCTGACAGTCCCTCTCTGAACTGCACAAGTTCCTGCATTTCTAAGGTGAAATTTTCTCAGCTCCTACTTTGTGCCCTCCCAGCAGAAAGGCAAACAGGCTGAGTTTGCTGCAGAGGGAGGAAGATTCCATACAGCTGTACATACACCAAGGCTAGGATGCTGCACCCAAACTAAGTAATTAAAAGAGCTGCAGGTGCCAGAATGGGCACACTGCACACAGAACATGTCAGCCTCTCCCTAGCCATGCTCCATCTCCTTCTGGTCAGGTCAGAAAAAACAGCCTCTAAAAAGCAAGCATTTATTACGCCAAAGAGGTGATGACAATACCTTTCGCAACTCTGGGACAGAGCTTGGAGTTTGTCCTGTATTGCCTGTTCCTAAAATGCAAGAAAAAGTAATTTAAGCAAACACATTATATTAGCAGATGAAAACACCTTAAAGGAAAGGGTTTGTGGTTGGCACCAGTAATCCTGAAACCATTCTGTTTAACCAGTTCTTGGAACCTGGAGATAAAATAAATGTCCTATTTTACCCTTCCAACATCACTTCTGTCCAAGGCACCAACCACTTTCTCAGACAGATCCACTAACCTGCCAAGTTTCCTTCCTCTGCCCACAGCAGATGATACAGTGAAAGGAATAAAACAGCTCTCACCACCATGGCAAAACCTGACTGAGGGACAATTCCACACCAGCACTCAGTCTTATTTTTTAATGTATCTGCTAATTTGCTTCATTGCTTTATATAGTTTCCTGAAATATGCTCAAATATTTTAATTGTGTTTGGCTTAGTGGGAAAATTTCTAAGGAACTTACAAACAAAAGATGAAAATTCATCATTTAAGAACACCACCCTCACATCATGTCCTCTACACAAATTTCCCCTAAAAGTTTCCCTCTCCACTGGCTGCAGCTCTGAGACAGACATCACAGCATCATTTTCACATCAGGTAGACCCAATCTCACAGAATTTGTGACAATGCTGCAAGCCTGCTGTAACAAACTTACCATGTAGGCACAAAGACACACACACCCGTGCATGTATCTAACTGTGTAATATACACTCACACCAGATACATCGATAAATATATATAATTTAATATATATATTTATAAACAAACGTCTATAAAATCCTTCTATAGACGCACAGCTAGAAACAAGCCTCTTGACTGCTACTGCTACACTGAGCACTCAAGCAGTGGTGGACTGGGGTTAAAAGTTCAGTGGGGAACTGGTCAGCCCCACTTGTTCTGTGTCACTTAACCAGCCGGCCCCACTCCTTGGCTGTAACACCACACATAAGCCATGCCAAGCTTAAATGCAGTTTCAATAAAACTGCAACATCAATGAACAGCAAGAATGCAAACATAATGCATTGACATTCTGGTAAAGCACTTAACCAAGTGCCTTACAAAGCCTCTTTTGCCTGACTGGTTCAGGTTGGTTTGGATGCAAGTGCTACCACGTGCCTGGACACAACAGAGGAGATAAAAATGTTATGGCAGAGTAGCAACACAATGCAGTGTTTTGATTATATAGACAGGTATGAAACTTCTTTTACACCCAAGGAAACTTTAGCGATGTATGTCATAAAACCAGCATGGAGACGATGTGGATTGCTTCATTTATTAAAGTGAATGAGAGAAGGGGGTTAACTTAGACATGAGACATTCTCATGGACATGAGAATGAAATTAGTAAACCAGTGGTTAAATGTTCCAAGGGATGTGAAAGACAGATGTGTGCCTCACTGGCCATGAGTTTCTCAGGAGAACTTGTATCCTCCATATCACAGTGCACAAGAATGAGGTTTGTTCATACTTCCAGAATCTCTAACAGAATGGACCCTACACTGAAGGGACCCAGCACTGACCCTGCCATGAGCTGTGCATTCAGAAAAAGACAGCTGGAGAAGGAATACTGTGAGTGATGGATATGCCTGACTCAGCCCAGCTTTTCTGGGGAGTCTGCAGGTGAAGCACTGCAGAAAGGCTCCACCATTCCTGCTACACCTAACCAACACGATACAGACATCCACCAGGAAATGTCCTACATCACAGCAGGAACACTGGTGCAGTAAGAATTAAACTGCCATTGATGGACAGGAAAAGCAGGAAACTAGAATCCATTTTTAGTGGATCCATTTTTGCACAGCCCTTCCGGAGCATCTTCTGGAGGCAGCATCGAGTTGTGCCTCCGGTGGAATTTCAGGCTGTACGGGAGTCAACAGATGTGACAAGCCATGGAAACATGGGACAAAACCAAGAGATTAATTTTGAAAAAGGTGAAATACATATTTTGGGAGGAAAGGTAACTCAGAACAGAAACTCAAGAGGAATGACTTTGAATGCAGAATCACAGAGGGACATTTCCATCCAGAAGTGGAGAACAAATCAGACTTATTTCCTGAAATCAGGTAGAAATACTAAAGCTTTTATTTTGCTTTGTTAACAGGGAGCTGAAGACAAGGAAATGTTCTGTGATGTTCTGTCAAGACTGAAGATTAAACAATTATGGGAGTGGAAAGAAAGACAGGAGGAGCTGACAGTTCTATAAGGAAATGAATAAAAAACATCCTGCTTCTATGACCTGAGAATTGGAAATGTCTGAGTATCTGAAGAAACAAAAATCCCAGGGCTGCAGCAGACACCAGGCAATACAGGAGGATACCATGCTAAATGAAATGGGAATAGGGCTCAAGCTGACGAGCATGAAGGGCTTTCACAGTACAAAGACTCAGATTGCGGAGCAGTTTCTTAAGGCAAATGATGGTTGGTTGAACAACTGCTTGAGACATTTAAAACAAGACTGGACAAAACATGGATGAAACTCTACAGAACATCTTCTAATCCACAGTGAGAATTTCTTGATTTCTATCTCTATGCTTGTGGTCAGCTACAGACAAGAAGACGTTTAGCCCTGCTGCCTCATGAATTCAGTGAGACATTTCCTGAGCTACAGCATGAGGTTTCGTTTGGAATAGCCAATTATTTGCTGACCCAGAGCTGCTGGAATTGAGGAGCAGCAGTTGACACACGGAGGGGATAACCTCCCTTGTGCAACAAGCCCCGTTTCACAAGGGGTAACTAAGAAGATTAAGGCTGAGCCTGAGGCTGAGGAAGGGCTCTACCTCTTGAGATGTCTCTGCGCCTGCTGCGACAGCTGAGCAGGGAGCTGGGAGCTGCTGGCCCAGTGGCTGGGAAAGATCAGGCTGGAGCTGCAGCACAGCAGAGGGCTGGAGAGGCAGGCCGGGCTCTATGGGGACAGGTGGGGCAGCCGTGGCAAGGCTGCCATGGACCTGGGGAACGCCGTCAGGAGGGACGCAGGGCGGCACCAGCTCCGACTGCAGCTGCAACGGCGGTGACATGACCATGGAGGGTTGCCCCGGCAGCACAGGCACCTGGGCTCCAGCTTCCAGAGCAAACTGAGTGTGTCCAGGCATGGGCTGCAACACAAGAGAGCTGTTAGCACACACCTCTGCGCCAAGGGCTCAGCACCTACGTGACACGGGAGCAAAGTCACCGGTGTTCATGAAAAAAAGGACTCCAACTTTGCAGTGTGATAGGGTTTGGGTGCTCTCAGTAATGGCTACAGAGATTAAACTTTCTCTGAAAGAACCAAATAAAAGCTAAGGATTCTCTCCGTACAATTATAACAATGTGCATTACTCAAGTACTAGTTTATTAGTAGGGACAATGCCAGATTTTGCTAAGAAATGAAAAATCACAGAATTCCAGAATGGATTGTAATGGATGGAACCTCAAAGCTCGTCTCATTCCACCCTCTGCAATGGGCAGGGACACCTTTCACTATCCCAGGTTGCTCCAAGCCCCATCCAACCCGGCCTTGGACACTGACAGGGATCCAGGGACAGTCACAGCTTCTCTGGACACCCTGTGCCAAGGCCTCCCCACCCTGCCAGGGAACAGTCTGTTCCCCATATCCCATTTAACCCTGCCCTCTGGCAGTGGGAAGCCATCCCCTGTGTCCTATCCCTCCATCCCTTGTCCCCAGTCCCTCTCCAGCTCTCCTGGAGCACCTTTAGGCCTTGGCAGGGGCTCTGAGCTCTCCCTGGACCCTTCTCTTCTCCAGGTGAGCACCCCCAGCTCTCCCAGCCTGGCTCCAGAGCAGAGGGTCTCCAGCCCCTGGAGCAGCTCCAGGGCCTCCTCTGGACTTGCTTTAAGATCTTAGGTGATTAATTAATTCTCCTGAATTCTTTACTCTGCTTTCAACAACCCCACACTGTCCATGCAGAGAAAAACACACTACCCATAACCTAACTTAGGATATTTTAAAAAATCTGCCATATATGTAGAATCAGGACCACCGGGTCACAAATTAATTAATTAATTGTGCCACAAATTACACAATTATCTCTTTCGCTGAATATGCACCAGTGTCCTACTTCAGTTTGGTGCAGTTTACACACTGAAGTCCAACTTAATCTTTGATGTGCCAAGCCCCAAGGTCCCAATCCTGCCAACACCTCCATGTAGACAGAGGGAGTTTCACTTATCTCACTGGATTTCTCCAGTGTATTAAAATAACTCAAGTGCGTAAGCACTTGCTGGGAACCAGACCCAGGCAACAGGATGACAGCTACCTTAGAGACTGGGTTGTTACTCTGCATAACAGTCCTTTTGGGTTGTACATTTAAAAAGAGAACATTCACCTTTTAGGTACATCATGTATTTTTCTAGGGGGACTAAGCTTGTGGGAAGAGGAAGGAGCATATGGAAGAAAAGAAGACTTTTAGTACTAGGTAAAAGCGTGCCCAATTTTTACTTTTTTTGAAGTATCATTACATAGAGACTTAAGGCTATTGGAAAATACATTTTAAAAAAAGACTCAGATGGGAACTAGACCACATGACTTCACTACTGCATGCTCTCTGCAGATTCTGGGTATGAGCCAAAACTATTATTCCAGGTTTTAATGTGGACAAAAATAAAGACAGGATGTGCTTCACAACACTTCAGAGTTACATGGCTGCCCAAAGGGGGATGGTTAGAGTGACAAGTGTGGTGTAATGCCACAGAATGGTGGTTCAATTTAAAATCTTATATAACTAGAATAATTCACAAAATATCTCATCGTCAAATCACAGAATATTCTGACTTGCAAGGGACCCACAAGGATCATCAAGTTCAACTCTTAAGTGAATGGCCCAATACAGATGTATCCAGGAAAAACAAAACTCAGAATGCTAAACATCAACTGTGAAAACAGCATGGCATTATATACAGAAATACCTCTCCATTAGAAGTCTTCAAATCAGAACGATGTTTTTAAAATATTCCTCTGCACATTATAATAGCTATTTTTTCATCCTAAATTCTTCCATATGCAACTCTTCCATACATATTTGATAGCTAATAACTGGGCCAGGATGGTTTGGCAACATCAGCTCTCCAATTCTGGTATTTGCCATGCTCACTGTGTCTAATGTGCTTGATTCCATTCCCTCTAAAGCCTCAGGGAACACCGAGTAACACTCCCAGGCTCCGTGCTGCTGACATTCTCAACGACAGTAATTCTATACCAAATATATGGCTAAAGAGAGAAATTTAAAAACTATGTACTGCTCTGAAGATGCCAAGATAGGTTGGGATGGGATGTTACGAATTTAAATTAGTGTGTTATGGTGAAGGGATGTGGCAGAATACAGATTTTCCAAATGCTGTATTTAACAGGTTGAGTGCCCTCTCCTGCTTTTTGTGTTTCACGTTGACATATCTCAGATGTGGCGAGAGAAGTATTTACAGACTCCGTCAGCCCTGAGACAGTTTCCATGTAAATCCTGCTAATACTTGAACTCATTTATGCTTTGTTTCTTTCAGGGCGGAAAGGGTCTGCAGCTAGAATCCATCTCCACCCTGCAGGTTTGACAGTGCTCTTCCATGCAGTTTTCCAGAGTCCTTACCAGACAGCCATTTCCCTTTGCTGTTTTAAAGATGTTCTACACTGAAATAACTCCACTGCTCCTGTCAGCTCCCCCATATTTGCTGTCTGTACCCAGCAGCCCCAGCATCTCACATAGACGTGCTACAGGCCTGGCACATCCTCTTGACCCAGGAGAACCACAGCTCACACTTCCCCAGATCTGAGATGAAGAAGGAAAAGGAAATTCAGCAAGTGCTCTGCCCATTCACTGTCCAAAGCCAGTTGAATTACGCCCTATATCCTTGATAACCCCCATCCCTGGGTGAGGACATTACCTGCTACCCCAGGGCTCACAGCTTCAGCCACCACCTCCAGAACTGAGGGCAAGAAGTCAACAGAACATCTCCAGAACAAGGATGAATGCTGGTGAGGAAGAGAGCCCCAGGCAGGCCTGCAGCCCGGAGCACCGTGTGGCGCACTTACCTGGTGAGCTGGCTCGGGAGGGTGGAGGACGCTGGGCTGCAGGGCTGCCGGCGGCGGCTGGGCCACGGGCTGGGAGCCCTGCGCGTCACCGGGCAGCAGCGGCTGGAAGGCGGGCTGGAACACGGGCTGCGGCGGCAGCGGCGGCACCCCCGGCGGAGCCACCGCCAGCAGGGGGATGGTGGCTGCCGGCATGTTTGGCACGATGGGCTGGCAGGGCAGAACCAGAGAAGCCACGGTGGTGTGAGGCAGGTTGACGGCTTGCATGGGCAGGGCGGGGGAGTTGGGTGCCATGGGCAGCGCGGGGTTCATGGGCAGGCTGGGCAGGATCACGGCTGGAGCAAAGTACTGGGAGGGAGCAGGAATGGGGGGCACGTTTGCAGCAGGGATGTCAGACAGGTTCGGAGGAAGGCTGTCAAGCCCTGCCAGAGGAGTAATTGCAGGAATGACAGGAAACTGAGGAATCTGAAAAAAATATAATATCACAGTTTTCACTGATGGTATAAAGCAGTTCCATTTGCCACACAAGTCCCTAAAAACCACCTGTGCCATGAGAATAATTATGTCTGTTTGTTAATCACTTCCATTCATTCCCTGAGGTTCACAAACAGTAATAAAATCTGATTTATGCTTAAATTATTAGTAAAAGCAAAAAAACCTCATTTGAGTGGGATGCTTTTATACCTTAGAAGCTTAAAACTACTTCTAACACCAGCTTGAAGCCTTCAAGCAATATCCTAATTAAAAGGTGCTTTCAATTTTAACAGAAATTAAAAGGAATTGGGCCAGATCTAATGCAAAACTCTTTTATGCAAAATTAAGTGAGGCAATTTAAACCCTTGTTTTCAAACAAGCTGCAACTCAGGCAGCACAGAAGAGCCCAGAAAAAGGGTTTTTACAATCAAAATCTCCCGGTGATGGAGCAGACATTAGCATCACAGCAACAGCTTACTCCTGCCCTCTGGCACAAGCTGCTTCACCTTATGGTGCCTATCACTACCAAAGACAGCCACAGCACCATCCACTTTCCTAGGCCAAGGGAAGGGTCTGTGCCCTGCTCCAGAGAACAGACCCAGAGCAGAACGACATAGACAGGGCTAGCAGGTGTTGGGGAAAGTGGTGAAATCAGGTCAGAAAATAGCAATAAAACCAGGCAACCGCTCAAGCTCTCAAGCCTGGGATGGGGAAGAGATTGTGCCAGGGGGGACAGTGCAAAAGACCAAATCAAAACAATCACAAAAAAATTACTGCCATTTTAGAACTGCCATTAACTGGATGGCACAGGGTTGGGCACAAAGGAGACTTCTGATTCACCAAACAAACAACAAAGAAACACACATGAATTAGGAAAGAACAATAATATGCTTATCACCTAATTAAACTGACATGCAGTCAAAATAGCCACACAAAACCTGCAAATCATGTTAATTATTAGCTGGAAATTTCTCCTCAAATGGCTGTGCTCACAGCCCTGTGTTACCTGGGACGGGGCCACAGGCGGGAGCTGTGGCACGGTGGGGATCTGCAGGGGCTTCAGGGAGGTGCTGCTAGCGGGCACCTGCGAGCCCTGCCCCGGGAACGGTGGCAGCAGGTGGGGGGCTGGTGGCAGAGGGCACACAGGCTGGCCGCTGAGCACCTGCTGCAGGGATGCTGCCTGTGAGATGGGCTGCTGCTGCAGGGACAAGAAAGAAAAGGTTACTGCTTCTATACTGCAAAGGAACCAGACGGCTGGCCACACTCCCCGCTTCTCCCCAGCTTGCTGTCAGCACAGACCTGGCACTTGGGAGTACAGAATCACAAGCTCATTAAGGTTGGAAAACACCTCTAAGATAACTGAGTCCGACCACCAACCCAGCACTGAAAGGTCCACCCATACAACATGTCCCCATGTTGTATCATCAAGATGTTTTTTGAACACTTCAAGGGATAGTGACACCCTTACTCCTCTGGGTAACCTATTCCAATGCTTAACCACTCTTTCAGTGAAGAAAATTTACCTAATATCCAACCTAAAGCTTCCCTGGCACAGCTTGAGGTCATTTTCTCTCCTCCTGTCCCTGTTCTCCACGAGCAGAGCCCAGCCCTCCCCCTTGCTGCCCCCTCCTGTCAGGGAATTGTACAGAGCCTGGAGGTCCCCTCGAGCCTCCTTTTTTCCAGGCTGAGCCCCCTTCCCAGCTCCATTCCCTGCCCTGGTCATGCTCCAGCCCCTCAGGATGTGCTCCAGAAGGGACAGCTCCCAGGAGAGATGGGCACTCTTAATTCAAACACTGCAGAGGAGCTCATGCTAAAAACACATTTAAATGCAAGACATATTAGCTAAAATGACATATGTTAACTGTCTTGGAGAGGCTATTTGTAATGACTCAGACTCTTTAAATCCCAGAGATTGTTCCGGTTGTCCCTGTGAAATCTCCACCCACTAACTTTCAAGATGCAGTTAAAACCCAGCTCATCCTGGCAAGCAGAAGTCACTGCACAATGGAGCAGGCATGAAAAGTATAACACTTATTACTTGAGACACAATCAACCACAATAATTGCAGTAAAAGCTAGGTTCCAGATATTTCTGATGCACTATAGTGACAATGTGGAATCCAAAAAAGTAGCTTTACTTTTCTAGGGAAAGTAATGCTCCCATGGCCTGCCAGGCTTTGGACAGCAGAATAGAGAGAAAAAGTTGCATTAATGCTGGAAATCATCGGTAACAAACCCCCACATTTTATGTGCTATTGATATCTTCTTCTTCAGTTCCTCTAATTAGTTCTGGAAGTACTTTAAAAACCCTTCTGGTTCAAAAGGATGACTCTGAAGCATAGGCTGGCTTAAGGTCACTTACTTGGGACCACAGGGCTGGTAGCTTCACCAGGCCCTGCAGCACACAGAAACTCTGCCATCTCGTGTTTTGAGAAAGACGTGGTATCTTCCCAGTTACAAACTGAAACCCACGGGGAACAGCAACACAGGGGCTGGCCTGGCACAGGTGATGGGACAGAGCAAACGATCTGAGGTGAAGGCACCTGAATATAGTCTGAGGGATGGGAGGGGTCGCCACTCACTCCATGGAGGAACTCCTGCTGGACCAAGCCCCAGCTGCGGGGTGGCAGAGCCACATGCCCAGGGCACTGAGCTGGAGTTCATAAAGCTGCCAGCTCCCAGAGCCAGCTCTACTCTAGCGCCCTAGTTGGGTTATTCTGTAGCTCAGACAGCTGCCCACAGCTCACCATGCGGACAGAGGGCACTGGCACTTGTGGTTAGCCACCTCCCACTCCAAGAGGCATCCCATTAGAGCAGGAAAACTGCACTCAGGGAATGGAGTGGCTTCCTAAAACCTCCCTCTCAAATACAGCTTGTGTCGTAGAAAATGCTTGTGAATGGGATAAGGCACAGGGAGGGGAAAATATCCAGGCAGATTAGGTAACTTTGCCTCAGCAGTGTAAATAAAAAAAATAAAAATAAATAAAAGTTAGGAAATACAACATAGATTCCACAGGTCTGATCCACCAGTGCATATTGATACAAGATCAAAACAATTTGTTCTGTAGGCAGATGAATTTCCCTTTTCCTGCTGTCCTGCCATACCCTTCTTAGCATTCACCGGACACTGCTGTCTCTGAGGAACATAGGTGCTCTGGGAAGTTTTGCAGAGAAACTTGGGACACCTTCCACTGTCCCAAGGTTCTCTAATCCCTAATGTCCAACCGGGCCGTGGGCACGCCCAGGGCTCCAGGGGCTGCCCCAGCTGCTCAGAGACACCTGTGTGAGGCAGAGCAGACACGGGCAAGGGCTGGGCTGGACACAGCTCCATGGCAGAGCCCAGCTCTCACCTGCTGGCTGGCCAGCACGGGCGGTGGCGGCTGCCCCAGTGGTAGTGGGGCCACGGTGCTGGGGACCACAGAGAACGGCAGCGCCGGCTCCTGGTAGTGCTGGGACACCACGGCGGGTGCAGCCGGCACCGTGGGCAGGACAGGCTGTGGAGAGACAGTGGCGTTAGGGAGACACTGCCAGGGATCCAGGGACAGTCACAGCTTCTCTGGGCACCTTGTGCCAGGGCCTGCCCACCCTGCCAGGGAACAATTCCTTCCCAATATCCCATCCAGCCCTGCCCTCTGGCAGTGGAAGCCATCCCCTGTGTCCTATCCCTCCATCCCTTGTCCCCAGTCCCTCTCCAGCTCTCCTGGAGCACCTTTAGGCCTTGGCAGGGGCTCTGAGCTCTCCCCGGATCCCTTTCCTCTCCAGGTGAGCACCCCCAGCTCTCCCAGCCTGGCTCCAGAGCAGAGGGGCTCCAGCCCTCAGAGCAGCTCCGGGGCCTCCTCTGGACACACTCCAACAGGCCTGTGTCCTTGTGCCTTGCTGCAAAGCCACTAATGGAGTTCAGTGCCAACAGACGGATAAGGGACTGAGTGGGTCAACTTGCACAGAGGTAAGTGAGGAACACATACAGAGACGCCTGGAACCTGTATCCTCTGGGAACAAGAGCATAAACAATAACATGAAACATGACCCAGGATACAGAACTATTTGAAAAAGCTTTGGACTTACTGCTGAGGGCTGCTGGTAGTGGCCGAGCTGGGGGAGGCTGTGGGGCACAGGCTGGCCCTCACTCAGTGGGGGGCTGTACACCCTCTGGATGGCAGGAGGGACAGCGTCTGGCAGGGACGAGTAGATGACACTTTGCTGGCTGCTCTGTGAGTCTGAATAAACCGTGGAGCCTTGGCCGCTGTCAAACGTGCTGTCAGCTGGAGGAACAGTCATTTTTACTAAAAGCTCCCCAGGGTCAAGTGATGATTTTAGAGCAAGGTAACCATGGTTTATGTAATTAGCATTTTTACTACTCTAGCCCTTTTGTTACATAAATAAATTATACAACACCAATGTTATTTTCTACAAAAAGCACACACTGCTTCGCTTAAGCCAAAATCCATCCCCATGGATTTTTGCTCACACTGATATTTAAGGCACATTAGTATTTTCTTTAAAGGGCATAAGGTTGACATTAAGAATTGCAGATGTTTATAAATTTTGTAGGATGAAAGGAGAGGAAACCCCAACTGTCATGTTCAGAGCAGATCATGGGGTCTTTTAGAGCGCCATCTTCCAGGGATGCACTGAGTTTAACACTGCTTTTATCAGCAGTACTGAAAGTTACAGAATTCTTTATGCTGTATGATTTCAGCCCAGCAAGCCACGCTCTGCTTGAGTGTAGTGCAATTAAGGTCAGACACAAACCCCTGTGCAGGTTCCAGTTGGTTTGGCACACTCAGAGCTCTGTGGAGTTTCTTGTGGAGCATTCGCCCAGTTAACCTATGGAACTGCACAGATACGGGCACTGGACAAGCACTGGGTCCTTTGTCAACTGGAAATATTGGTATTACTGATTTAAAAATATTATTTCACAACTTTTAAAGTGTGTAAAATACAAGCGCCCAGCTCTGTTTGAACCTAAGTTACTGCTTTCATCACTTAAGAAGGGAAGTGAGACAACTCAGACTGAAGCTGGAGTACCCCAACGACAAATAGATTAAAAAATTTGAAAATGAAAGAAAACACAGTTTAAAAAACCATTTTAAATTACAGCTAAGCTTAAATATGATTTCTTTTCCCAACACTTTCCACTGTCTCTTTTTTCCATATTCTAAATAAAGTTTTACTTACTTGGCTTTTAAATAATAAATTATTTTTTAATAGCACCAGAGAAGACATTTCTCTTCAGCATTCCCAAGCTGTTCTCCCAACTGTTTTTTTTTCCAAAATTAAACTCTCCTCTCTATTTATTCAATTCATTTCTGAAAAGGCAACACAGCCCTACTCTCATGATGGAATTTCTGCTGCATTAACATTCCAATTTATTACAAACAATTATTCAGGACCTCAAAGGAAAAATAAAAAAGAGTCTAATGGTAGAGTGCTAAAGTAAAAGCTGTGAGTCCATCTCAGGTTTTTATAGAATGTACATTACACACATTAAGTTATTCATTTCCACTTTTACATTTGACCTCAAATTACATGAACGGGTGCCACCCTAAATTATAGAGGTCCTATCCTAAGAAAATGTTCAAATAATCTGACAGCAAATCGCCAAGTAATACCAAGTACTGTTTAAAAGTTGAAGAGGAGTAGGAAATAAATTGTGAAGGGTTATATTTAGCATAACATTTTGCCAACTCATGTCCAGCAGAGCCACGGAAAGCACAAGTCACTTCATTGTAGCACTAGAAACAAAGAGTCATAATTGCAGTATTCCTCAAAGGAATTAGCATGAAATAAGTATATGATCCAAAAAAATTATATGAGCTCATTTTACTTTCTGATAAAAAGCTTTGTGAATGTGACAACATTGTGAGTGTTATGCAAATGTGGCTATTTCTCATATCATGTAAAGGATTTTTCCTTTACAGGCACACATGGATATCTCAGTATTTAAATCAGACCTCAGTGTAGCCCTTTATAAAATACCTGAATTGAAGCAGCAGCTGTGTCTTGCTAAAGGTAATGCATCTTTTACTTAAACATGCTTACGTACAAGCCCAGAACACTAAAACAGAAACTCTGTGATAACTGTTTAGTAGCAAAATATATAATTATATAGAGATACCTATATAATACTGTTTTTTTGAAACTTTTTCGCTTTCAAAATTGTCATGCATCTGTCCCAGATGTTTGTGTTTTGCACAGGAGCTCAAAACACCCACATCAGGTTACTGTGGGCTTCCCCTCAGACATTCACCTCTGTGCCCATGAAGCCAGCATGAGACTTACAGGCGACAGAGGTGACGCTGGTGGGCAGGTTCTGCTGGAAGGGGTGCTGGTCCGCCTCTGGCTCCTCGGGCTCCGACAGGATGTGGTGGCCCGTGTGGGACAGGTAGGTGACCTGGACCTGCTGTGCCTGCGGGGCCTTGAGCTTGTCCACACCCTCCGAGTCGCGGCGCTCCTCCACCTGCATCCTGGGCCAGATGCGCTCCCTCCGCCAGAGAATCAGCGCCACGCGGTCACGGATGGACTTGGCCACGATCTTGAGATCGTTCTCGTGGAAAAACCCCGAGTCAATCTGCACAGGAGCACACACTTAGCAAGGTCCCAAGCATGTGGCTGGGCAGGCACACAAGCACACAGCCATACCAGAACCTCTTCCCAGCAGAGAAAATATCAGTTTGAAACAACATGAACATACATAAATTTATGTCTGACAAGAACAGCAACCCAAGAGCTTGATGGGGTGGGGTTTTTTCTCAGTAAAACTTCTATTCCTAATGCACTAAAAAAACCCAGGATGTAATATCTAAGACCTGAATATATACTGTCTCTGATTATCCACCACTAAACATCCATTGAGGAAAGCAAGTTTAATGGCAGATGGGTTTCCCTCTTTTTTCATTTTAACACTAAAAAAATAGACAAAACAGGAAGAAGGATCTCTAAACAATGCACCTGGAGTGAATCACACTGCCCTTAAATCTGAATTTATTGCCTTAACCCTTCCAAACTGCTCTGCTTGATAGCACAGCAAATCATGAAGGCAAGATGTTAACAGAATTATGTCTGAAATGAACTTCTCTTCAACAGTGAAGTCAGCCAGTATTGATTGACTTTTACAAAGAGAAAGCAGACTGTTCCCATTTGATGGAAAAAGGGATGAGGCTTCTCAGAACTCAACTGCTCAACAGATAAAATGGAAATTCATCTTTGTGCTATTTGTTTGCATAATCTCCTGCAGTACAGGGTATGAATTTTCATTTAATAATGACCTACCAGAGCTTTGTCGGCTCTCCCTACATTCTTAACATGCACATTTAACAGATTTGAAAGCACTTACATCCATGGGGGAAATCTAGAGGGTTTCCTGCCTTTCTCCTGCCCAAACATAAGACAGTTTCACAGCTCAGATTTTCACTGCTAAAATTAATGAGTGCAAAGCATCTTAATACATAGCTTCATTTTAATGAAGCCAGGCCCCTTTGCAGTACCCACTGGTTGGCAGAGCTAACGCCACTTTCCAAATCCACTAGAACATTTCCAGTTCCCTTTACCCACATCCTTTGGGCAGGTGGAATTGCCTGACTACCAAAAACCCATCAGTAATGATAAATAATGCCCTCTACTCAGAAGGTCTTCTGCATTCTTCTCTTCCACAGCACATGAAGCAACAAACTGGTGAAAGCACATGGCTTTGGTGTTCCACAATTCATAAGGACTAGAAAAAGACATTAAGGAATAAACATCCCCCTTTTCTGCCCCTGCAACAGCCTCAGGTTTGAAAGCATTTCATGGGCAGCCACTTAGGTAAGCATCAATGTAGAATACAGATTTTAAAATTACTTGGGAATTATTTGGGAAAGGGTATAGTGTCACTGTAGTTTGGGCGTGATCCTTTTAAATATGCTTTTCACAAGAATTATTTCCTCTTCAAAATAAAACATCACAGCTATGGACCAAGCAACTGAATATCCAAATATTTCCATCAATATTTAAATGCAAAATATAACAGAGTAAGTAATGATATTAGAACAATTTTTAAACTAAATGAGTTTATATATATCTATTGATATATATATAATATATATAATATATATATTTTATATAATAGTAATATAATATTAATAGATAATATTACATAATACTTAATATTAATATATATAATTATAATATATAATATATATTGATATATATTATATATATTGATCTATCTATATCTAATGATATATTGCTGCAAAAACATTGGACCTACTGCAAACTAACAACAAGAAGACAAAGGAGCCTGAATTTCTCCCTCTAAACGTGGAGTAGATGGTGACAAGTTCCAGCAGAGCAAGGCAGCATTACCAAAATGAGTGCCTCCTGAGCAGAGCACGAGTGGTAATGACATCATTAAACGGAATCCCTCGGGATTTAGAGTCTAATAGGAACGTTTCTGCAAGCACAGGAATGCTCAGACCCTTGGCTCAGTGCTTACTGACTCCGAGCTTCTGTGACATTAGAACCTCAAACAACTGCAGCAAACACCATCAAAACAGGAGTTCAAGGACAATGTGGTGAAATTGGAACACAGATTCTCTAACAAAAGCCCACAGTAATAAAAATATAGAAATTGAGCAAGTGAAACTTATCTGTTAAAAAATCCAAAGCTTACTCCTAGCTCAGTTTCTCAATTAACTCCTAATTCCTAATCCAGTTTCCTCTCAAAGCTGGGGGTAGAGAGGCTGACAACAGACCTTTCTCATCTACATTTCTTCAAAGGAACACCAACAGAAAAGATGGGAAAAAGTGTTTTGGAGAATTCAATGCAGAGTATTTTGTGATTGAACTTGTGACCTCTTCTAATGCATTTCTAGCTGCTGTCTGGAACTAAATAGATTCCAAATAAATTCAAATATATTCAACAGCCTATAGTAACTGGCAGAAGAGCTTGCAAAATATAAAAGTAAACCAGACCTTTACGGTCCCTAAGCTATGTAAATTGTGAATTCAGGCATCTGTTTTCAAACAACGTTTCAGTTAGTTGTTCCCTGTTCATCCGTTTCTTGCAGTAGTCATTCCAAAATCAATGCAAAGTGCCTAAACTGGACACCAAGTGGTTCGAGTCAACTTTACCCAACTCTCTCCTGTTGTCTCTTGAGATTTATGTACTACTTTCTATAGACACATATGTTTGTCAGAAGTGTATTTTACCATTTCTTGTGCAACATCATCAGGAGTTTCCTTCTCCAGATCAAAAGTAAACTCAATGGCTCCATTATCTTTGGGTTTTCCTTTCAGTTTCTTAGGATCTTCTACCCAGAGTCTTAAGGCAATAGAGGATTTCCTACCATGGTCTTCTTCCGCAAGTTCCACTCTTACCCCAGTATCTTCAGCAAAAAAGGCATGGCTTAATAAATCTTTAATTTCATATCTGCAAAGGATATAAAGAAGATTCAAACACTGGAAGTCAACAATTTCAAAAATGTTTGTAACAAGAAACTGCTGTTAAAGGTGGAAACATTTATACTATGTTTGGTGTTCATCCACAGTGAATTTGTGTTCTTTTTGAAAATATATGGGATTTTAAAAAGGAAGTGAAATTGAAAAATTGACATTTCTCATTTCTCAAAGCTTTAGCAATATTCATCCACCACAAGCATTTAGAGAAATGCAGATTATAGCTTTGTTCAACTTTTCTTAAGTATCTGACCTTAGAGAGTACCAAAGAAGAGATTCTCTCCAGACAGTCAGCTGTAGTCCCTCAAAACTATATTTGTGAAAGTCAGGAAATACTGAGCACAAGATAACTGGCAGAGACCAGTAAAACATTAGTTTTTAAAACCAAACCTGGAAAACAAGGTGCAACATGTCTCCATGTTCAGACGCCAATGAACAGCTCGTGACGTTGTACTACCACACAAACCTTTATCATCCTTACTGCCCCCACAGAACCTTCCCAATTTTTTGGGAAATTGCAAGAATACCCCAGCTCAGCTCCACAGTGATGCTGAGGGGCTGAGAGACACAACAGCACTGCTTATCCTGACACTGAATGTCAGGAAAGCAGGAATCATTTATATTTGTATTTCCATGCTGCATTTTCTCCTGCACAGGGGAGACTCACAAACCAGAGCAGAAGGCCACAGACAGTTCTGAAATCCTTACATACACCTTATTTAATACAAAACTTGATCCCTTGAAACAAACCTTTCTTCTTTGTTTTTGCAGATGCACTCCCCAATTATCTCCTTAATTTCAGGATCAGTAACTTTCTCAAAGCTTGCTGGCTTTATACCCTAAAAGCATAGAGAAAAACAATTTAATGTGAAAAAGAATTACATTATACGTCTTAATTAAGCATATTTTCTCTGCATTTTAAAGGTAATTCAACCCCAGAAGTAGCTAATACTTTTAAGTCGCTAGTCTTAATGCAAAACTGAGTTGAGGATTTAGGGGTACTATATTCCTAAATACTGTTGCACTTCAAAAGTAGTACTCTAGTTTGCACGAGCACAGCCATACACAGGGAAAGTATCCCTTTTTCTTTACCAACTTTTGCAAATTTTACCTTTATATCCTCTGGACTCTGAAGTGAATATTGAAGAAACAGCTAATTTTAAATTTCAAAAATAATAATTTTTTGAAATTATTCCTTTTATGTTTTTTTTTTACTTAACTCTCAAAGCACTAAATGAATAAAGACAAATAATCACGGTTTTCTTCAGATAGCTACTACTGAAAATGAGTCAAAAATACCTTGGAATATTCCATATTCCTATTTCCCACAAACCTCTTGCTCTTCCATGACCCAAACACTCTCCAACACATTCTCCTTTACATAAAAAAATTAAAAATCAACCCCAAAACCAAGCAGGGAAGCAGGAGAATACACTCAGCAGCTCTGCACTGCTCCTGAATTTCCCAGGATATTGTTAGAAATTCCCCTTGGGAATATGTGATAAGAGCAGGTGCAACCTATAAATCTAGTTAAATCTCAGTCTAATGTTAGCATTTTTGCTGGGAACAGATTTGGAAGAGCAACCTATAAGCATGGCCTTTCAAGAAGAAAACCCAAGTACCCACTGCAGACGAAAGCCCTGGGAAGCAGAATCAGTGTCCCCACATCCATATATATATTCAGCTGCAGATGACAAGTGGCAACACAAGAAGTCCTTCTGTTTATTTGTGATGTCCAGCTTAAATCACAGAATTAATTAATTCCCTTTTAAAAACACATTATTACCTCTAGCTACTAAACAAAGATGTATATGGATGAAAATATGACAAAATTAATTTGAGAAGAGATGATGCAATTAGACCCTACCACTTAAGGACCTAAGTACTTCCAAGGAAGTCAATAAGCAGAACAAAAAGGAAACACAGTTTCCTTTATCTAAAAAACCAGAATGTGATTAAGTACATAACTCAACGGTAATTGGACATTTAGCTCCATTCTAATCCTTTTAAAAGTTTCACTCTGAAATTACAGTAAATAATGGCTCATGCAGATAAGGAGCCCTGGAGAGTGGACTTCTGGCTCACCCAGTGGATTAAAAGAAGAAAACAAGTATTTTCAAAGAGCATCTGCAAGTAATACACTGAATTAAGTCTTCAATAAATTTTATGAATGAATTTCAGTGAGGGCTGGAGCCTCTCTGAATTTCAGTGAGGGCTGGAGCCTCTCTGAATTTCAGTGAGGGCTGGAGCCTCTCTGAATTTCTGAATATTCCAGAATCAGATTATACTTTTATTCTTTTATGAACATTCTGTTGCTATTCAAGCCTCAGATTCTACTTCAAACTCTATTAATTAATAATTTTAGGTCAACAACCCCCTGTTTGTCTTAAAATTCTAGAGTGAATTATGTAAATCATAAATTTTGAAAACATAGTAATAAATATACAGAATAGTGACACAAAGACTCAGCTCCCTGGTTTTGCTTCAGCAGAAAGCTGCACACATCCAAAGAAACACATTTTTGTGAGAACAAACCAAAATAATCTGTACATGTGGCTGGCTGGCTGGCCACTTTAGTCACCCACTAAAAAGAATTATTTGCTTAAGCAAACCTAAATCTTACTGGTGAGATGAGGGTTCAAATTTTGTGTATTAGAAAAATGTGTCAAAAGGCACTGGATTGTCCAGGCTGGCTCCAACGTGCCAAGGCGAGCTCTTAGGAGAGCTCTGATACCTGAATTAGCAATGAGAGAAAACAAAGCACCACCAAAATGTATTTTCAGCAGGACTCCTCTGAAAGGAGTCTCGTGTGCTCTTCATCAGAAAGAAGGATAAATCTATGCACTTCAATTCACTGTTATTTGCCATGAGAAAACTGATTTCCCTATTAGTGTGACCCTCTCCAGGAAGAAAGGGTAATAAGACCTAAAGGCTTTAACCTGAAGAGAGGAAGGTTTAGATTAAACATAAGAAAGAAATTCTTCCCTGTGATGGTGGGGAGGCCCTGGCACAGGGTGCCCAGAGCATCAGATCCCCAATGACTGGCTCCCAATATTGACCTTACAAATTGCTTCCACAAATAAAAAAAATAATTCTTCTATCAACACTTTATTTTCCCCATCTTTGGATGGAATACCAACTCCTCTCCAAACATCCATTGTGTTAAATGTACTGAACAGCTAAGCTATGAATAGATGACTAAAACAAACAAGGACATAACATACGCAGTTAAGTACTGAACAGAGCTGCTTTGCCAAAGTGTTTCTCCCTGCCCCTGTGCTATAGGATGCTTTTTTTCCTTACTCTTCATTAAACTCTCCAAGGCCATCTCACTGGGATGCTGCAAGCCCTCCCATGCAGCACAGTGCCCCTGACAATGAAGGGGGATTCTATTTGCCATCAAAGGATTCATCTCATTCACCTAAACAAAAGGCATCTGTCTTCCCTGAGCATTCCCAAGGAAACATGGCACCAAAATTCAAAGTGTATTAGCTAAGAAATTATCCGTGACAGTTTGAAAGCTGGACAGCCTCTTATAAATTAATATAAACTCAGTGCTACCACATGTGAAAGGCAGGGCTTGCTGGGTGGCACAAGGGACATAAGGATAATGCAAGTTCCTTAAATGTTAAAAAATATATATACATATATAAACCAAGAGCAAAATGAGATATTATTTCCCTTCTGAGAATTTCTCTGTCTCAAACAGGGTGATTTATTTTGATTCCCTCACCACCACTTATTCCCATTCCCTTCTTTCTGAAGCAATTAGATTGGTGATCCATTGCCCTCCAGTACAAGGCAGCGGAGTCTACAGTGAGACACATATAGATATTAAAGTTGTATCCCTCATGTTGAAGGAAGAGACGTGCTGCTTGTTCTGCAGGGTCTAAAAACAGCCGCTTGCCATTTTCCATCTGCAGAGCATACTTTGGAAGAGGAACACATGATGCTTTGAAGGGACACAGTGAATGCCACACGAGTCACTGGCACATCTGACCCACGTCAGTCAGTTTTCCAGAGTCTTTCCTGGCCCTGAGAAGTGCCCTTCCACCCCAGAGACAGCCTGTTCTGGGCTACCACTGCACCTTCCACCTGAAGGTAACTCTAGGCTCATGTCATGCATAAACAAGGAAAAAAAAAACCTTCTACCAAAAAAGCTGAAGCCATGTTTCCAACTGAAACTGCACCCTAGCACACACTCTCTGAAGACACTGAAATGAAGGTAAAGCTTTCAATTTTACCAGGATTTTATTCCATGACATCAATTATAAACTCATCTCTCTTTCACTCTGGAATGGTGCTCTATCTTAATACGAAACTAAGAGGATTACCTGCCGATCTAAGAACATCTCCAAAAGCCACAAGAAGTTCACACAATGACATTCACATCATTATTTGCCTGCTGTCATTGTACCACAGCTACAGCATTTATTCTGGCTGCATGCACTACAGCATACAGCCTGTGAATGCTGAAAAATCTTCAATAGTTGATGAGAACAAACAATATGAAAGCTTTATATACAAACCAGAACACTGTAACAGGGTGGCTTGTTCTGAAGCATAAGTTTGTACCACTATACCCAAGGAGATGGCCAGGAACTGTCTGGAGATGCAGCTGCTCTGCTGTGCATTCTGCTGTGCATCCCTAAGAAAACACTGGGCTGGAGCAGCCTGGGAAGGTCACAGATTCCAATGTTTCATCACTATTGTCTACATCAAATCACTTGGCAGAATGATTAAACACAAAAAATATCTGAGTAAGAAAAACCATCAAGTTATGCATGAAAAATGAGATTACAGCATCAGAACGAAGGGCACTGCAAATACGCTGACCAGGAAATCACTTCAAAGTGAACTGTGGTAAATGTGGCTTGGTCCCATTGCTTGAGAAAGATATGTTTTCTATTTACAGTACATATCCGTTTTTTTTAATGTTTACACTAGATCATTCGGGCTGAAAGAACAGAGAGGGATGACAAGTTGGAACAAGCAACATGTCTGGGAGAGAAATGAGGCCCTCTGCACAGTCCCAAACATGACCACCACCTTATCCTGGACAACTGCATACAGGCACACGTGGAGAAACAGGAATGCAAATATTAAAGCAGCAATTAAGCCATAAGAATACAGTCAGACAGAGTAAAAGGTTGCTGAAATAAATTAGGTATAATAATCTTACACTACAGAAATGTAGAACGTGACATACACTGAAATAATAATGTCTCAGAAAGGTAATGTTTACATTTTCTACACCAATAAGGACGACGAATGTGTGTGGCTTGTATAGCCAGGACCTGAGGTCTATCTCATGTCCTAGTAGCAGGCAAGGGCATAGTAGAGCAGAAACTACTGAAAAAGATATTATAGTGGCAAAACCCAAATAATGCCCTGCCTGTGCTAGGCAGCAGAGGGAATGTCAGCTCTGTGGGACCCAACAGAAGACAGCAGTCTAAAGATTTTGTTGGTTGTCACTCTTTCATGCAAACTCTAGGCAGCAATTCCAACCCCTATGGATGCTATCAACACCTCTTATGGTGGCCACTGCAATGCTGAGCCCAAGGCAGGAAAGTTATTTTATTTTATAATTTTTAAATAAAGGCATCAGGCAGCTAGACACAGCAAACAGAATGCACTGACCCTCAGTTTAAAACACTAGAAATAGCATTTATATTTCTGGTGCAAAAAAGCCCCAGTTTCATAAAGAAGTAAATGTCTCACTGAGGAGCTGCAGCGTTCAGGGGCTCTGCATCCTCTCCATCCAAGAAGGTCAGAGCCACCTTCTGCTCTGAGCCCCAAACCTAAGCTAATACTGTAAGAAAACAGTCTAATTCAGCCTCTTGGGTTCAGCCTCCATTTTGGACTACATTTCAGTCTACAAGACCCAAGGCTTGCACAAGCTGCCACATCAGCTTCATCCAACTGATTTTAGAGTTACTCTGTCTGTCTGTAGTCACTGTCCCAGCCTAGGACAGACCCCACTGCATGGTGCTGGCTCACGAGACTACACACCCCAAACTCCTCCACCCCCTCCTGAGCCACTGCATCCCTCAGATCCCGTGGCCACTCACGCTGCTCGGAGCAGGAGCAGGGTCCCTTCTGCCGGCAGTTCCCCTGCAGATGTAGCTCTGCTGGAGAACCTGTTGAGCCCACCAGAAGGCTCCTCTTGGGACAGAGGATCTCTCCCAGGAGGAGGATCCTCCTGCACCCTCACCCCAGAGGTCCACCCCCTGCTCCTCCTTCCTGCCTGACAGTTGTGCAGCTCATGGCATTTGACAGGGCTTTCTCCATTCCACAGGGAACTGGTTAACCCTTTCCTTGGAAAAACAGTAACGCCAATTTTGCCATCTAAGGAATCCCGGTGCCTTTGCTCCCATTGCTACTACCCCAAATTCAGCTGAAAACCACACACCCTCCGTGCTGGCACCTGATGCTTTTGTCTTCAGCTTTCCCTGCCAGACAGTTCTGCTTCAAAAATACCCCTTACAATGACCTTTCAACAGCTTCTCCACCATTACTTGTTCTATGCAATAAACATCATCTCTCACCTCTCTGAAGCTGCCAGCATAAAGCCAGTTTTACAAAACTATAATAATTTACCATCTAATCTTGAGCTATGTACAAGTTACTGCCATAGAAAATGAGTTGACTCAGGCTTCCATCAGGCTTTAAGTCTAAAAACGACACATAACATCTAATTAGGCACAATCTTCTAATTAATCATTATTCTTTGCCATCTTGGATATTGCGTTGATAAATGAGGCTTAGGAGCCTTGCAAAGTCTTAATTGCTAATATTCCAGATGGCTACGAGGTGTGCACAGAGCTCCTCTGGATACATGGAGCAGTGAAGAACTCAATGTTCTCCATGGCTCCAGGTGCACACACATGCTCCCAGTAACACCAGCTCCCACGGTGGTACTGGGTACCTGATTGGTCTCACATGCAGGACATGAGGCTACAGGGCCTAAAATCCAAAGAGCCTCTTGAAGCCACTCTGTGAAGAGTCCAAGGAGGTATCCCCTAAGCTGCCCACTCTGCTAGCATTTAGGCCATATCTGAAGGACCACACCAAAAGAGAGCCAACGTCCCTTGTGCCAAAGGTATTAAACACTGTGATAAAGAACCACAGAGTAACAACATGGAGTAACTATGTGGCTCTAGGATCACAGAATCACAGAATGGTTTGGATTGGAAAGCACCTTAAAGACCTTTTCATTCCAACCTCCCCTGTAATGGGTAGGAACACCTTCCACTAGACCAGGTAGCTCCAAGCCCTACCCAACCCAGCCTTGAATAACTAGGATAAAGGCAAGGAACTCTCCTGAGCCATCAAGCTCACTCTGTGTCTCTGAAAAGTTGCAGCATGGTTTGGAGCAAGCCCACAGTGGAGAGCATGGTCAGCAGCCAGCAGATGCATGGCTGCGCATGCTGGCCTCCCTGCAATGCCAAGGGAGCCTCTGCAGTCACAGGATGAAGAATAACTGCACTGAGTAGTTTCTGAGGCCTTTCGTAGGCTTTAAAATGATTTCTGAGTGGCTCTGGGCTGAAAGCAACACTCTAAGAAGAGTTAAACTACCAAGCATCAGCCCACTGGGCTGTATTTGTGGCCAATGGAGGTAACATCAGTGACAAAAATTACTGAAAATATTTGATGTAGCTGCATCCAGTCAAACACACTCCAGTGTAGAACTGTAAGCTTACACATAAGCCTGAAACAGGTTTGTGTAACCCAGAACTCAGACACCTGTTGGTACTCAGCAGTACCAACACCTCATCGAAATATGCTTTTGACAAGACAAGACATCTTGACACTGCTTTTGCAGTGACAAGACCCAATACCAATTAAGGATGTGTACTCACACAGGTTACTTTTCGGTAGATTTGAGCAGCATTCTGGCATTCTGAGTAAGGGTATTCTGAGGTAGCCATTTCCAGCATGCACATTCCAAATGCGTAGACATCAACAGATTCATCGTAGTGTTCCTCATACATTTCGGGGGCCATGAATTCTGGTGTGCCTATACAGAGACATAAAGAAAATGGTGATTTTTTACAGGAGTCTAAATGCCTTTAACTACAAGCTTTTTCACCTGTAAGAAGTGTGCCCAGTACAATTGTGTATAGGTAGGTGCATGCAAGATCATTTCAAAAGAGCTCAAGCATCCCCCAGGGAGGAAATCTGAGGTCAATGTAATGCACTTCCATGCCCGTGGCTTGCTGACAATAATCCAAAATAGGGAAGCAGGGCAGAGAGAAAGTAGGGCGGGGGGGGAGGGAGAAGAAGAAGAATGAAAAATTTCAAAAATGAACAAGAAAATGACCTATGGTTCATTTCCTGCCCATACTGAAGTGATGGAATGGTTTCTGTCTGGCTGGAGAGAAGGATGCAGACAGGGCTTGGGGGGGTGAAAGGGGAGAAGAAACAAAAACTTTCACTCTTGTTTTTATCAGTGAAAATCTGCATTTTTTTTGTTTCTTCCAGAGATACAGAGTAACCATCAGCAGGCAGACAGCACCACTTTGAAAGCCAGCAGTATCACAAAACACCTATAGAGTCATGCACAAAACATCAAACCTAATTCTGTCACTGGTTTAGTGGGACAAATCAATGAGGCTACTCAGAACAACGTCCTATTCAATAGGGATTAGGGTGTCAGGAACCTGACGCAACTGTGTAAATATGAAGTGAGGCGCTGGGAGCTGCAGCCTGGGGATAAGCAGCAACTTCCAACACCTGCAACATTTGCTCAGCAAACTACTCTGAAAAGGGGGGGGATTTATAAAACAAAACAGAAAACTATTAACACTTGGGTAATTCATTCCAGGAACTGTATCTCATACTGTAATTCATGCTCAGGAGCAATGTCTAGTTTATTTCCTTTCTACATAGAAAAAATGAAGGGAGAGAGATCAATGCAACGGTGTGTCAAGGGACAGTAGCAGTAAGCTGCTGGGATGCCAAAAAGAGTGTCAGGTTTTGGACATGAGAAAGACCCAGATAAACTCTGCCTGTCCAGCCTCAGCACCCAAATTGCCCCCAGCCCTGGCAGATCCCATCAGTGCTTTGTTATGTCATTACTAATAAGCAGCAAAAGCACAACTGTCATGAAAGTAACATATAATCAGAAAAAATAGGTATGGCATATCTCAGGATGGTTTGGATTAGAAGGTACCTTAAAGATCATCTCATCCACCCTCTGCCACAGGCAAGGACACCTTCCACTGTCCCAGGCTGTTCCATGCCCTGGCCAGCCTGGCCTTGGATACTCCCAGGGATCCAGTGGCAGCCACAGCTGCTTTGGGCACCCTGTGCCAGGGCCTCCCCACTCTCATAGTAATATGTTTCTTTCTAATATCCAATCTAAATCTCCCCTCCTACAGTTACAAGCCATCACCCAAGTCCCTAAAGAAATTGAGGAAATTCCATCCCTGGAAGTGTCCGAGGCCAGGTTGGATGGAGACTGGAGCAACCTGGGATAGTGGAAGGTGTCCCTGCCATGGCAGACAAGATGATCTTTAAGGTCCCTTCAAATCCAAACCATTCTAGGATTCTCTGATTTGTTCTAAACTCTTTTGAAATGGTAATATAAAAGACAGCCCTCAAAATTAGGGTCTGCTTTTGCACACATCTCTGAAGTAGACTCGACCTAACTTGTGAACAAGCATTTCTGTAAAATTAATTTTGCAAAATTCAAAACCACTCTCTTCCCTCGTTTAAGTTCCTTCCACCTCAAAGACTCTTCTTCCTCCAACCTTAGCAAATCAGCCAGATCCGTGTCATGGAGGCTCAGTGTAGTCCCTCTCTCTGGGTGTTTGTTCCAGCTGCCACCAAGGCAGAGGCTGCTGCTCAGAAAGGGTTAACAGCTGCCACAGGGAATTATTTTGGAGCTACTGCCTTGCTTTAGAAGGAACACGACTCAGCATGAGTGAAACTTATGAATTACAGAGCATTTAAACCTGAAAAAATGATAGCAATGGTCTAAGAAGCAAATGGAATACTTGGCACCATTCCAAAACAGGACAAAAATTACATTTTCCCCCCATTCTTTGGGGTGGAAAGGAATACCTACAAGCATCCTTCAACATAAAAGCCCAGCTAAACATGAAGCCGTTCAGCACCCACTCAGCTGCTCTTGGCAGGAGCAGGCTTGCCCTGGCTAGGCTCCCAAACACTTCAAGATACTGACTTTATCCCTTTCAGCTGATGCAAAATGCAGCTACTGACATGTCTTTTCGGCTGCTCCCTCTGCAGAGGGGGAGCATTACTCATCATCAGTGTTTCCAAGCCTCCTTAATACACTCCTTGGAGCAGCACTACTCATGAAAATTATAAGCTTGGTTTTACTGCCAAAATGAATGCAGACACTTCGCCAGCATCCTGCACAGCCCTTCTAGTATCAAATTCCTTTCAGACATAAGGGTATTTTGATGGTGTTCTGTTCACAGCTGATTTTACAAAACCCTGTATGAATATTACTAATATTCTTACCAATACTGCTGTTACTGATGTTACTCCTTGTATTGGTACTACTGATACTATTCCCAGTATTGGTACTTCTGGAATTATTCCCAGTATTGGTATTACTTATATTATTCCCAGTATCGTTATTATTGATATTATTCCATTATGTCCCATGAACAATTGTTACCCTGCAAAAAGATTATTTGAAGAAATACTGACCCTCAACAGAGAAAAACATCACCAGTTACTAGAAGTTAAAAACCAGAGAAACTTAAATATAAACAAACATGAATTCACTAAAATCAACGAGGTTAAGCAGACCCACAGCAGCCAAGCACGTATCTGAAATTTCTACTGTTTTGACTTCACTGGCACTGGGCTCCCTATGCTTTAGGGATGACACTGGAAGAAAGAGAAGAGGAAGTTATGATACCATTACCTACTGATTCCCGTTTTTATAATGGTATAAAGGCAACAGTCCCAAACCCACTTTAGTCTCCACTACCAATCTGTAACTTAAAAACCACTAATGCAAAATGGGAAAGGAAGATGTTAAATAGACAGCCACGATACTGACCGAGGGAAGCCAAGGAGAACAGGAGCATTACCTATGACACTTTTGGCAAATGAAGCTCTCTTGAGTGTTGCCAGACCCAAGTCTCCTATTTTCACAGATCCAGTTGGTCCAGTAATAAAAATATTATCACATTTCAAGTCTCTGTGAATTATTGGTGGAGTTCTTGTGTGCAAGAAAAGAAGACCCTTCAGGATTTGCCGACACCAACTGCGCAGGACTTTAGGTTTCATCACTTTAAATCTCTTCAGATACCTAGAGCACAACATACATGCAAGTGGGTATAATGGAAGTGAAAACATTTTATCAGAGATTTGAGGAGTTTTAACAGCTGAAACTCCATTATGGATAAAAGCCTCTTATTAGATGCCACAAGAGCAGCACAGAAATATCCCAAAATTGAATGAAATAGGTCTTTTGAAAAGGGGAATTAGAGCATTCAGTTTTAGGGAGGATGATAATAAGCATTTTCGGTGCAAATACAACCAAATATTTTGAAGTTGAATAGTTCAGCAATTCAGTTCATGCAGAGAACAGCTTTAGAGTATGTTCATATATTTTGAATCAGAAGAACACTGAAGTTTAATTTTAACCACAAGACTTGAACCTTCGTACCACGCACTTGCATTTTTTCCCATTTACCTGAAGCACTGGTTGGGAGGGGATATTGGGGGAAGATGTAGGGCCTACTAATGCACTAGCAGAGTAGCACACTGGCTGAGTACTGTTTCCATTGGGGCTGAAAATCTGTTCCAGAACTCATGCCAACTGCTTTATATCAACCTTAACAAGACTGTCAGTACCAGAAGCTATTAATGTTGTTTAGGAGATAACCTAGAGCACCTTCAGCTTCTAAGATATTCAAACAGTCAAGTGCTATTCCATTTGAATTCCCTAACAAAACATGCAAATACAAGCACAAAACACACCCTGACAAATCCAAACATTACAGGCGGAAGATGAAACACGCCAGAGAACAGCTTCGAGTTGCATAACCGAAACAAGGAAGCAGGCAGAAAGAGACGGAGACCAAAATTCTGCCTGTCAAACCACTGCAGTTCAAATGCAGGGACAAATGACAGACACCAGAGAACAGCTCCATTTTTCGCTTTTATCTGGAGATGGCTTTTTTCAGCGTACAAAAGTAGGATTTTGCTATAAATGTCTGCTGCTATTCTTAGTCCCTTGCCAGGAGTGCAGTACTTACGTCTTCAGCGTTCCAGAGGTCATCAGCTCAGTTACCAGCACGATGCATCTTTTGCCTTTTGCACAGGATTCCCAAAAGTCATAAAACCTCACGATATTTGGGTGCTGTAGACCTTTCAACATTTCTGCTTCCTCTTTAAATCTCTGCCTCTCTACTTTTGTGAGTTTTCGGTCCTAGAAGTCAAAATGAGACATTATTATTAGTGACAGATAAAAATAAAGGCTCTGCATTGCCAGGGTGTTCAGAATTTTAGATTTATGCTTGTGTCAAGAGCAATTATAAAATCTTTTATGTAAGAGAGTAGCAGTGTGTATGAACTAGGGCACTCGGCCTAAATCCAGTACCAAGAAGACAAAGAGATGCCTGTGCTACACCATGCTCATGACAGCACTAATATTTCAGGCACCATGAACACACCCATGGCATAATGGATCAACCCTCAGCTATTTCTTCATGTTTGGGTGTTGTGAGGCTTCTTATCCTATTAATACCCACAGGATGTCATTTCCAGGTATGTACATTCTCACAGCCAGGACAGCTCCCACTACCCTCAGCTACTCCTGGGATGCTCTGGCACAGAGCAGCTGAGGTTCCTGCTCACCACACTGGGCTCTACATGCCCATCCTGTTTACCTCAGGCAAAATTAAAACCACGTCACCTTCCAAAAGAGCCCAAACACATCCATTTTTCTATGTGTTTGCTGTTCTGCTTCATTTTACAGGCTTCTTTTTGGTAAAGAAAGTGCTTCCAGCTGCCCTTCAGCTTCTTCCATAGGCTGCATATGCATGGAAATTCTTTAGATTAGAAATGCGAAAATATAATTTTCTACCACTCTGGTTTCCCTAGAGAATTTCAGGGCATTTCCCACACCCTCTGGGCTCTTGCTAGACCCTGCCCAGCACATGCATGCCCCTCCCATGGCTCAGGCAAAGCTCCGGGGCTGCCTGGACCTCCCCAGCATATGGAGACCTCCAACAAGCAGCCTGGACACTTGCTTCAACCTCTTAGGATGATGAAACAGAGCAGTAGGGGAGTTCCACCCCAGACCCCATCATGCCTGCCTGGTTTGCCCCCTTGGCCAAAGCATTGCTCACCCTTGCCCCAGAAATGGAGCTTTTGGGATCTTTAGAACATGCTCTTACTCAGAAAGCCAAAGGCTCACCAATCACCAAGATTAATTAGTTCATATTTTAACCTCAGACTTCTTCCTTTTCTCAAGTCATTTAGGCACGTCTATACGAGCTGCACTACTACGTACACAGAGTGAACTAAATGGGAGTACAGCTGACTTGTAGCCAAGATGCAAAAGGATCAGCCACTGCCATTTCCACAGCCTGCCCTCACCCACAATCCCAGACAGTTCAAGATGGGAATGAGAATTCCCATGACTACAAACAAATCAGCTACACATGAAGACTTCATCAGAGGAAACACAGGCTTGGAACAGTGATTTGGCTCTTGGTGGATGACAAAACCCTGTGCTGTGTGTGCATGGGGGAAGCATTTCCATTGGTACCGGGGCTGTTGAGGGTTTTCTCTGTTCCCTCTGAGATCAGTGGAACAGCATCAGAGCAAACACTGCCCAAGCAGCAGCAGCAGCCCTGGGGCTGGGCAGTGCAGGGTGTGTGGTGGGTCTCCAGGGCAGCCAGAGTCCCCCATGCCCCACAGGGACAGCAGCACACAGAACAGCCACAGCCAAGCCAGGCAGCACCTCAGCTGCTCTGCACCAGTTGCCTTTTTCCTAAAGCAAAAGAAGGTCAAAAACAAACAAACAAAAAAAAACCCAACAAAAAAACAGGCTGTCTAACGAGTCAGGCAGGAAGAGCCACAGGACTGCTCTCAACTCCATCACTTCTTCCCTACTGCTAAGTTTCCTTCTAATTTAAAACCTGTAGAATAAATCAGACACACTGCTGTTAGGAAGGAGAAGGAGCAAGTCCCTGTGCAGGACAGGAAGAGCAGAGTGGGAGTTGGCAGAGGAAAGGAAAGGTGCCAAAACAGATCCAGCAGATTTGCCATTACTTTCTAATTAAAAAAAAAAAAAATACCATAGTCCTTGATTCTCATTTCTAGGTTTCTGAGCACTGTGAGAACTTTTCCACCACTACTTTATTGGTAACTTCATCAGACAATCATTCTGTATATTTTACATATTATGAGCAGGATCATTTTAGCAACTGCAACAAAGTGATTCTGGAAGGCAAATGTGTGTTTTATTCATAATCACAGTACAAAAAAAAAAAAAAATCTGGATTTTTTTTTTCATCAGATTGATATCTGAGCACTGTTTTCCAGCTGGAGAGGCAAGGGGAAGCTGCAATCTCCACGATGGGAGTAGTCTCTGGTGCCATCAGGGCTCAATACTCTAAATTCCTCCAGGCTGAACCTGACACGAGTCACTGGCAAAAACATAAGCTGATTCTGAAAGGGCTTAAGGGTCGAAGTGTTTTCTACTCTGAAGCAGCAGAAACACCTGTTTAACTGCATGACTCACTCAGAGTTTAATCCAAACCCAAGAAACCTTCACTGGGGTCACAGACACTCATTCCCCATCGTATAATCCACACAGGACAAAATGTCCTCATCCTGAAGGTAAGGGTGTAAGCCTGAAACAACCTCACATTTTAAGATAGAGAACAGGTATGGAAAGGTCATGACAAAGAAAGGTAGTCATAAACTCATGGAATAGTTTGGGTTGGAAGGGGCCTTAAAGATCATCTGGGTATGAGGAAGAAATTCCTCCCTGTGAGGGTGGTGAGCTCCTGGCACAGGGTGCCCAGAGCAGCTGTGGCTGCCCCTGGATCCCTGGCCTCGTCCAAGGTCAGGCTGGACATTGGGACTTAGAGCAGCCTGGGATAGTGAAAGGTGTCCCTGCCCATGGCAGAGGGTGGACAAGATTGGACTTAAGGTCCCTTCCAACCCAAACCATTCCATGATTCTAAAAATTTCCAATGAGCACTTTACACAGCCTCAGTCCTGGTAAATCCCATACATTTAAACTGGATTAACATGATGTTTCCAGCAGGAAGATACAAATAAGTGAATATCCTATCTATAACCAAATTTCTGCTAATGCAACACACATATGTTTTCTGCTTCCCCCTACTCATCATGGCCAGGGCAATAAAATGCCTCTCTTTTAATATAAAATTTATCCCTTCATTAAGTTCTTCTTTATGGGGAACAACAGCAAAGATAGGAATTAGTAAGTAAATGTGTTAACAAAAGGAAAGGGAAAACTTACAAATCAAATTTCTGGAATGGCACCCAAATTAACAGCAGGAACATGCTCAGTTAGTCATCCTCAAGCATCATTTCCTCCAGGTTGTAACATATGGGCTCTGACTAAGGATCTGAAAATTATACAAGCAGGAGACTAGCTTTCACCTGAGCCTTCAGAAGATTTCCAAGATTAACAAACGAGGTCAAGTTTCTTGCCTAATTCCTTGCAAGGAGCGAACAGATTCGGGAATCAACTCCATCCCCCCACCATAAAGAAAAGGGTTCTTGCAAAGAAGACTACATATATTTTTCACAATCAATGCCTAGAACTGTGTAGGATCAGGGTCTGGAGCACAGCTGTTGCAAACTATAAATTTGTGCTGCTTTGCAGTTTCACAGATTTTTTTTTCATTTTCTCCTTTTAAAGTCTTGAATGTTCACTAATGTTAAAAAATTTTAAACTACTGCAGACACTTGGATACCTTACCTACTTCCTGGCCTAAGGACTTCTGTGTCCAGCTAGCCTATAAATACTGTTTCCTTGAGAGTTTTGTGTTTTGTTTTGTTTTTAAACTCTTAAACTAACACAGCAGCATTTACTGATGGTTATTTAATTTTGTGTCAATTTGAACAGATGAAGGCCTGACTGTAAGGCAAGTAGGACCATTAGGTCAGAAAAGAGGACAGGGCTCACCTCCACCATGCAGAAGTCTGACCCACATTGGTGATGAAGAAAGAAAAAACAGAAATTTCTGACCCAGGGACAGAAATCAAATATCTACATCCACAGAATGAACATCTGTTCAGATCATTCACTTTTCACATCTGCATTCCAAGTAGGTACTTTTGCTCATGCACCACAACTAGAAAGATGGCTTGAGCGCGAAATCAGCCACAGGACCCACTGCCAGCTATCTCCTGTGGAACTGCCTGTCAGTTTCCCATGGATTTATGAACAGGAGCACAGTTCTGCTCTCATGTACCAACCCTATCATCCTGTATCATCCTGCCTACACGATAAATGTTTAATAGCATCCAGGATCTTTCATGCCCACATCCCATGCATGCACTTACTGCTTAAAGCAATCCTAAAGGATAAAATCCCTTCTCTGTGAACAAACAGCAGATGCCATCAGACAACTTGCGAATCAAGGAAAGAAATTTTACAGCTTCATTCCCTATCAGAATCCAGCCAACATTCTTCTTCAGTCAGTCACCCTCAGTGAAGTTACAGCCTGCTATTTGTCAGTGGCACTGCTAAAATGCAGGGAGGTTTTCCCAGGGGGAGCTAATTTTCAAAAGGCATAAAAGCAGTCCTTGTCCCCATGGATACTCATAACTCAGTGAACAGGAGCTATGGAACAGGCTGAGGAAGATTTACTTATTTTCCTGAGTCATTGCTAGAAATCTATGGAAAATTAGGAGTTGAATTCAAACCTTTATGGCTAAATTTGGCACGGTAGAAGAGGCTGAGCATGCTTTTTTGCTGGATTCAATCATAGTTTGCTACTTTCTAAACTGATTAAGGCATATCTCGAATCCTTACAGCAGAAGAACACTGGGATTCACATCTTCTACTGAACCTCAGAACTGCAGCAGCTTGTCCTGAAAAGGCAGGAGGAAGGGGAGTCAATACCCCAAATCTCCAATCCCAAATGAGCCACAAACACACCCAAGAAACACAACACCATGGACAGAGCATGCGTTTTAGAGGCAAAAACCTCCCAACACCACTGGCAGAGTGTGTTTCACAGGTGAAAACCTTCCAACATAACCACACCATGACAACAGATGCTTAAACAAATTCTTGTCACAAGCAATTAAATTAATTTTAGGTAGCACCTCCTTAGCTTCCTTAATTGCTAGTGTTCCACTTAAGCTTGTGATTGCAGATGACATACCAAAACAGTTCTGACTTGCCTCACAAAACACCTTTTTCAAAGGAAACTC